CTTAAGCGACTTGATGTGTTGCCGTGTCTGCGTGTTTTTTAGGCCACTTTGTCCTGAGAGCGAAAATCATATTCTACAGTCGAAAGACAGTGCCAGATGATTCTATAGTGAGTGAGAGCAACAACTATTTGCTCCATCGGTAATGAGAAGTTGAACGACCCAGGTCATCCACGCCTGTTCCTAACAGAGAGAGATGAAAGTGAACGATGTTCATTATCACAGTAAAAGTGCTGCATCTTCAAGCGTTTCAAAAAAAGCTACAGAGATGCGTGACGAGTGACATGGTTGTTCTAGAATCCTGTGCGAGAGCAGAAAAATCTGGTATGATGAGCTGAAAACTACCCCCCTTTGCATGAGAAAGAGAGAAAGAGATACTGTCTTCCTGCTTTGCGTGTGAGAGAGTGTGCCCAATGAGCATCATGGATGCAAACTGTTGTAGCTGATTGAAATATGGTTTTAGATTTATTAGAAAACTGAAAAAGTTGTTGATCCTGAGTAACATTCCCCACTTTTCAATCCTCTTGGTTTACAGGGAAGCGGAACATTTGTGTGGAAGCATAACCGTTTTCCCGAGATAAGCCCGTAGGGTTTAACAACGCGCAATTAAAACATTTCGAGGAGGAGACGATCATCTGTTTGAAAACATAAAAATAGACTTTATGGGGTCGTACTGTAGATCAGAAATCACATCGCTCTAAGCGAATGTTGAAAAACATACAACCGTCTACGGTTTTCAGGTAGTGAGTATAAGACTTTTAGGGTCCTAGGACAAAAGACAGAGGTCTTGGATCATCTTCTTCTTTAGAGTAGATAGATTATGCGTCTTGATTGAGCAAAAAGATAGCATTACGACGGCGTTTCTGCTTCCTCCTGGAGTCCACTCCAGCTTGGCAACCAGCAGTCTCGGTTTTCGAAGAAACAGAAAGTTTAAGTTCACTAGAACGCCTATGCGCGTTATAGAATAGTAAGATTTTTTCAAGTTGTAAACACGAAGTGTGGTAGTTGAAGCGTTGTTCTTTATTCACGACGATATCAGCGCTTAGATTTCATCATACGTCGATATTCTTCGACTATAGTTCTTGTGCAGAAAATCATAATCGGGCTTAGAGCCTACATACGCAGTTCTTATTTGGGCTCTTGTTATTGTACAGTTTACAGAAACTACTAACTATTCGACCATTTCCGCCGAGCAAAAACTGAACAAGACTACGCTTGTAGATTTTTTCAACAACAGACTTTGACTAATTTCATTGTGAACTTCATGTTCTTGCTCTTGCTGTTTGAATCCTTGTTGTGGTATCCTTCAACAGACATAGTTCCACAACTTCAGCGCTGCAGTTCCGCCAGACATCCTACAATAACTAACTAACTAACTAACTATCTAATTAACTAACTAGTAAGTTTTTTAAGACCTAGACCTAAACTAAAAAAAATAATCAAGATGCCGCCAATTAAAACGGCGCCTACCTTCGACAACGAAGATGCGCGGGCGGCGTACTATGAGAAAATCCTCGAAGCCAACGATGGCAGTATCCAGACAATTCAGGTACACTTTCTTATACATAATTTGAGATCTTCACTCCAGTCAGGATGTTACAAGGTTAGACAAGAAAGACAGCCGGGTGGGGATCGATAACGAGTCACAGGCAGCTAGAGACATCGAGCAACGACCGTCGGACAGCTAGGCAATGAAGTAGAGGACCCTGGAGAAGGAAGTAGTCCGGAGAAGGAAGTAGTCCGGAGAAGGAAGTAGTCTGGAGAAGGAAGTAGTCTGGAGAAGGAAGTAGTCCGGAGAAGGAAGTAGTGACGAGCAAAGCCGAGGGGACAACAACTCGACGTGGATTGCGACCTTTCGACAGACGGGCGTCCTCGTCATAGTACTTTCCCGAAGATTTTCTTCAGTACAGCTAGCTTGTCCCTCGACGATGAGCAAATGAAGTATTCCTGGTGTTTAGTAGTTCCGCTGATGCTAGGGAGCCTACCCGAGATTCATCAAGCTGCTTGCGGCGACATCTTAGACGCCATGAAACGTCAGCAGCGCGCAAGCCCCTTACGGAGAGCTTGAGGATCTTGCTTTTTAGATTTATGCGGTTTTTTGCCTGCTTCTTGCTGCACTTACTAGAAACTATGTAAATATGAATGCTTTTTAAAGTAGTTGTACGACTTAGTACTAGACTGCACGCTGGTAGAAGCACGTGAAGACTTTAGACTAAGGTAAGTTGTTTCCTAGCTTGAATTCTCAACATAAGATCTGGGACAGAGGATCTGCTATTCTAATAAGGTCTTTTGCAGACCATGGCGACTGAGTGAAATGGCGACGAGCGATCTAGAAAGGACGCAAGAAAAGTGCGATCTAGAGACAGGCTTTTTTTTGCCGCAGAGTGGCTTGTTGCCAGCGAGAGACACATGAGAGATATTTTTTTCCGCACTGCTACAAGGTGGATGGCAAGCGATGGAGTTGATTGGACGCTAAGCACGATAGATTTTTTTTCTTGGTGTTACAAGCAAGATCAGATCTGATTTTTTCTGTACTATAATTCAAATTCTTGACTATCATCTCTATAAGGTGAAAACCAGGGCACGACTGTCACAACCCGTAGAGGATCCAACTGAGTATAAAAGTGTGTAGATTCTAAATATCCTCTTTCGTTCATCTCGAACGACATCAACTAGATTACATTTTAGATCAAGTTCTTGCACTTACTACAACTATTCCTAAATTTAAGACTGGGAGACCAGCTCTCAGATTTCATCTCTTCATTCAAAAACTCTCTTTTAGGGAACAAAGGCTAGACCAAACGAGGCATTTTTGCCTCGAAGCACGTAGCCGAAAAAACTATAGGGTAAATAGAATTGAATAACGCATATGGGAACTTCTTGTTTCATAATGAATTGTGTGAGTAGTTTTTAGGAGGGAACGATACTAGTCTTATCACGTAGATTTTCTCAGTTCCACATAAGGTTAAGAAAGAACCCAACATCTTCAGCGCCGCCCTTTGTGCGGCAACGACGAGCGCTCGCGTGACGTCATTTTCTTATCGACGGCAGATTCGACAGAAGGAGAAACTTACATCTCTAGAAGACAAAAACGTCCTCTGTGAAAACAACAACTTCTGCTACGTGGTCCGAACAACAAGGAGAAAGAAATCACTACTGTTCTTCACTATCTTTCTTTACGATTCTTTAGAAAAAAATATATTTTAGACTGTTCAAGTTGCAAGGAAATAATTACTCATTTTAGAGCATTCTTGATAAGAAGACAAGTCTCTAAGATTCTGAGGCCACCTACTGAGTTTAGACTGTTCCCATTTAAGACAACTATACAAGAAGATCAACAAGATGTCCAAACCCAAACCTAAAGTCGCACCGCAGTTCGCCAATGAGGAGGAGCGAGCTGCCTACTATGAGAAGGTCATGGAAAGCAGCGACGATGAAGTCAATACGATCAGGGTAAAGAGTCTACGTAAGGAGTCTTTGCATCCTCGTTGGCGCCACTTCTCCTGTAAAGAGTCTATGCTTGCAGGTCACATGAGAAAAATCATGGTCGTCCCAAAAGGGATCGCGTAAGTAGTATACCTGTAGTAGGAGTAGTGAAAGGAGCTAGTATACCTGTAGTAGTAGTGAATGTGAAAGGAGTAGTACTGGCGCTCAGACTTCCACAGCCTCTTCTATCATGCCGTGATGGGAGAAATGCAACGAACTAGTACTGAAGGAAGATGAAGAAAGACAGACAGGAAACCATGGTCGTCCCAAAGGGGATCCCATAGTCTAAACAGGAATCCGCAAGGTGTAGGAAGGCACTCCAGCGACGCTTCATCTCTATAGAGACTCTTTCCAACTTTATTAGCCAAGTCCGTTCCTGATTGTGACTCCGATTAGTATTACATACACATACTCAATTTCAATCACATACTCAATTTCTTCCCTTTTAAAACCAAGCAAACCACCCATGATCCTTTCAAATCTTTACCCAACCCAAAAATCAAGTTTTCCAATCAAGTACCTTAAAAACAAAACAGGTTGAAGGTGAGGAGCTGGCCGATGTCCCGGCGTGGCTCCGCGCCGCCTTGGCCATGATGGACGCCGATGACACAGGTGAATTAGACAAAGCGGAGGTCGTCTACTTCATGAAGCGCATTCGTAAACTCATCCAAGCCAAGAAAAATGACAACGGTGAACTCGACTACGCTGATTTTCCAGACTCGGTTAAAGCAGCTTTGGCAGTATGGGATGCTGATGCGAGTGGGTAATATTACACTGCTGGAGTTTATTGACCTTTCTTCTTGATAATGGATATATTTTTTTGTTTAAAGAAATAGAAAGATCTTGGTCTTCTTCGGTTCAAAACATTATCTTACAGTTCAAGATCAGGGGTATTTGGACACAACTCTTGATACATACATCTTACAGCTCTTGGCCCTTTTTTTATATTTCGCTATATTAAATGGGTCGTTCGTTGGTGTTTCTTCGATCTTGCAAGATGATTTGTTTACCCGTCGTTTTTACTTGTAGTTTTGGTGATTTAAATTGCCATGATCAAAATGTTGTCTCTACATCAGCTCGTCGTCAATCTATTCTTATCATATCTCCTACTCTTACAACCTTATCTCCATCCAAAACTCCCAACAGTTCCGTCTCTGTGGGCGAACTTACTGCGGCAGCTAATGCCCAAAAGAAGATGCAAGAGGAGAATCGTGTCATGAAGCGCGCTTTGGTCGTACTGGTTGCGATTATTGTCTTGCTTTTATGGCTTGAAAAGTGACAAGTTCTTATACTCATTTAATCTTCGATTTTCGATCCATGGTAAGTGCTCATAATGTGCTCGTTATTGTTTATTAACGTCCTGCCCCAACCAACAACCACGGATCCGCTCTCTAATCCTCGCCGTGATGAACTTCGTGATGGGCTTACTTGCCGTCGAAGCTGGTAAGGACACGAAGCCTTCCGAAAGTAGTTCTCATCTTAAGGCTACAAGAAATCTCCCATTTTCAGAAGCACCATCTTGGTCCTTAGGTTTTTATAGGGAAAACGAGACCCAAGATGCTGCGCAAGATGGATTTCTCTTAGTTCTAATCGTCGCCAGCGTCGTCTCCGCGAACTAGCTGAGGTCCACGGTGAACATCGTCTCCTCCACGCCGATTCCGGTGCCGGTGCCGACCGTTCTCTAGGGCCCGGCGTCATGATTGCGGGAAGCGGCATGAGCTCTGAGCCGGATGCGGCGGATACGACAGTTATCGGTACCTCTATTTAAGGCTCAACATTTAGATTGGGGTCACCATTGAGGTTGGTCTGTCACTGACACGTCGGAAGAGGAGACTCCTACTCCTTGAGGAAAAAACAACAGGGGAAAACGAAGGGAACAAAGAGCTTTGTCAAAGCGGGTCTCCTCTTCCGACTCAGAGGAGTCAGTGACCAGCAGCGAATGCCGAGCTTTAACCTATGGCCAAGGAGCGCTATTCCGGATTGGAGGTGCTGAACAAGTTGAGCACGATTCCGCCAGACATGGCTGGGAACATCTTGGCCGTCACCTTCCCATCCGCTGTCGGTCCGAAGACGTTCAAGGGCATCGACGAGATCGCTATGGGACCATTTGAGCCAGAGATGGGAATGAGGAAGGTAATTTGTTGTGCATCTTGTTTTTTGATTTGAGGACTTTTATTTTCATGGAGGGAGGAGAGAGAGTTATGAGTACAGAGTGGGTGCGATGTTGTTGTATCACAAAAGCAAATCACTTGACAGGCTATTCTTTATCACTATGTGCTTTGTTTTGAGTTATTGTTCACAAAGTTGCCACCAATAGAGCAAACTGTTATTTTATTTCTAAAATTTCTTTTCTTTTTAAAATTTCTTTTCTTTCTAAAATTTCTTTTCTTTTTGGAAAACAAGTAAAAATCGTCTAGATTCTCTTTTTCCCTAAACTACCAGATCTTCAAATCCGCCGGTGGCTCCTTCGTTCTCGTTGAGCCTCCACGCAACACGCAAAACTACTGCTACGAGCGGTTCATCGAGTTCAAGGATCCCAAGTCCGGGATGACTGAGGTCGTCACGGAGGAAATGATCCGCACCAGCGGTATGTACTTCTGCGCCGGCTATGATCCGATGATCCACGACGGCGGCCGCTGCATGGAGTCCTGGGAGCAGGATATGGAATACATTCCTCCATTAAGGCTACAAGAAATCTCCCATTTTCAGAAGCATCCTGAGACCGCTTTCAAGGGGAAAAACAAGGTTCTAAGATGCGTTTCAAGATGGATTTCTCTTGGGTCTAACTCCCGTGTTCGAGCGTGCCAATGCGACTGGCTTGCAAGCTTGCGAGCGTGTTGCCGCTGTGATCACCATGGGCACCGAAGGTGACATGTCTGGCGGAGTCGCTAGCGTGGTTGTGCCGGACATCCATCAGTACTGCCCGTCTGGAGCATGCAACCAGACGCAGTTCTTTCAGTACATCCGTCAGGTGCCGGTCGATGCCCCTCCGGGTATGTCCGTGATGGACGCGTGGATGATGTTCAACAAGGACAATGATACCTTCGTCACGATCGATGAGATGAAGAAGTTATGATCGCTTTGATGTGGAAGATTTAGAATTACAGACGTTGTTGTTTAATCCGTCTAGGACTCCATCATTCAATGTTCTTGTTGTTGAAGTTGATATGAGTCTAGCTGTTCAACCAAGTGGGCGCTTTAGAAATAGCGCTTTGATGTGCCGCACTTTAGAAATAGCGCGTTGATCATGTGCCCAGTACTAGGGTTGTAGAATCAGTCTGCCATTTTCATCATAATGTATAAGACGTAGTTAGCCCATTGAGACTGCAGTAGATGAACTACATGCAAGAGCGATTTTTTCTTCATATAGTACAACTACCTAGCTTGTTCATTGAGATGGCAGACGAGCACGCACTGAATTTTTACTTCCTCGTCGTCAAATCCAGTTCTAGTCTCCCTCCCAACCCCTCTCCTTCTAATTCCCGGTGTCAAAGCCGCTCTCCCTCAGTTCGACTTCGTCTGGAATGCTACGGTTATGCGCTCTCCAACGACCGTCGCTATGGTTGAGGCCGCTAACCGAAC